CAGCTATCTAGGAGGCAGAGATTGGGAGGATCACAGTTCGAGGACAGCCTGAGCAAATAGTTAGCAAGACCCCAACCCAATCAATAAACCAGGCATACTGGTTCACACCTGTAATCCCACTACATGGCCCAGGTTAAAACATGAGGCCTTATCAGAAAAACAACTAAAGCAAAAAGAGTTGAGAGTGTGGCTCAAATGGTAAGGCTGCCTAGCAAATGCAAAATCCAAAGTTCAGACCTGAGTACTGCCAATTTTTTTAATGTGAGGTATTTTTTTAAATACTCAGTACTAGAATTACCAAAATAGAGAAAAAAAAATCATGAAGTTTACACTCAGATGTCTGAAATCTGGGAAATATAGTATGAAATAAAAAGGGCTAGAGCCCCAAATCAAAGAACCATTCCCTCCTTCACAAATCATTCATTTAAACAGCAGTACCAGGATCTATTAGCTGACCTATCAACAATCTTCAACCACAGAAATGCAAGAATTGCCCATCTTTTTAAACCAACTCTCCCTCAACTCCCTCCAGCCACTGCCTAATATGCTAGCCTACAGTACGGACCTCTTCCTCACACTTCGCTCACCAGCCGGCCGTGGCTCCTACCCCACCGCCTGACTTGCAACCATCCATGGCTTCCTAACCAGCACAACCAATGAACTCCCTTCTGTCCTTATCTTATTTACCTCAACTCTCCACACAGCATTTGCATTGTTGACTATTCCTAAAAGTCCTCTCCTCCCTAGACTTCCACACCATTCCTGTCTCTTCAGTCGCTCCTCCATCTTCTTCACTGAGTCCTCCTACTCCTTACTAGTGTTCCCCTCACCATTCACTATTATGATTCTTAGAAATGAAATAAAAAATAATGCTTTTACCTGGTGAAAAATGAAAAAAACTACAGAAGAGAAACCAGAGCTTAGTAGTTTCTTATGTACTTTTCCAGAAAAAAAATATATAAATATATTCTCTTTTGTTCTTTAGCAAATACTTTTCACCTCCAGGTTGGTTGTTTTTTTTGTGTGGGGAGGGGCAGTACTGGGATTTGAACTAAGGACCTCACACTTGCTAGGTCCTCCACCACCCTTTTTTTGTGTTGGGTTTTGTTTTGTTTTGTTTTGTTTTTTTGCGTACTGAGTCTTGAACTTAGGACGTACACCTTGAGCCACTCCACCAATCCTTTCTGTGATGGGTTTTTTCAAGATTGGGTCTCGAGAACTATTTGCCCAGGCTTGCTTCAAACCATGATCCTCCTGATCTCTGCCTCCTGAGTAGCAAGGATCACAGGTGTGAGCCACCGGTGGCTTGTGGCTTATGTTGGTAGTTTTGAAATAAGGCCTCCACTTCTTTTTTTTTTTTTTTTGGTCCCAAACTATGATTCTCCTGATCTTTGCCTCCTGAGTTGCTAAGATCTCAGGTGTAAACCACTGGTGCCCAACTCTTTCTTTAGCATACTGGAGTTTGAACTCAGGGCTTTGTGCTTGAACCACACCTCCAGCCCTTTTTGCTTTGCCTAGCCTGGACCATAATTCTCCCCTTTTACGTTTCCTGCCATGACTGGGGTGACAGGCATGCACAACCACACCCAGCTCTCTCTGTTGAGATGGTGTCTCAGCAAACTATTTTATTTATTTGTTTGTTTATTTATTTGTTTTTTTATTTTGCCCAGGACTGACCCTGAACCGTGATCCTCCCGATCTCAGCTTCCCAAGTAGCTAGGATTACTGGCTTGAGCCACTGACCCGGCTTCTTCATTTTGTTTTGTTTTACTCAACAGAGTATCTTGAACATCTTTCTATATCACATGTTGGCACATCCAATTCTCTCTGTCTCTGCCTCTGTCTCTTCAAGCTTCCAACTTGTATCCTATCATCAGTATGTCTAAGTAGAGGCTGGGAGCATAGCTCAGTAGCAAAGCACCTGCTTAGTATTCTTGAGAACTTGAGTTCAATCCCCATCAGCAAAACACAGTATCTGGATAAACATTCTTATGCATATGTAAATTTTGAAAATTCTTATAAATGGAATTATCAGATCAAAAAGGAATACTTTTAATTTGTTTCTCAAATTAAGCTGCAAGCATCATAACCCTATCGTGCTTAAGACTGTTTATCATCACTTTTTTCAGTGCCTGGTCCTTAATTTGTTTGTTGTTGTTGTTTGATGGGACTGGTGTTTGAACTCAGGGATTTTGTGCCTGCAAAGCAGATGCTCCACCACTTGAGCCACACCTCTGGTCCATTTTTATCTGGTTACTTTGGAGATGGGGTCCCAACAACTACATGCCCAGGATGGCCTCAAATTTCGATCCTCCTGATCTCAGCCTCCCAAGTAGGATTACGGATATGAGCCACTGTCGCCAACCTTAATTTGGTTTTGTTTTTTCTTTTTTTTTCTACAGCCTTAATTTGTGTTGTAAGATTTTGTTTTGTCTGAAAGGTAAGAACTAAAATCTCATGATTATTTTTTGCTTTTTTTCTTTTGTCCATTCTGGGGTTTAAACTCAGGGCCTCACATTTGCTAGGCAGGTCCTTTACCTCTTGAACCATACCTCCAGTCTACTTTGCTCTGGTTATTTTGCAGATGAGGTTTCATAAACTATTTGTCCAGGTTAGCCTTGAACTGCAATCCTCTAGATCTCTGCCTCCCAAGTAGCTAGGATTCCAGGTAAAAGCCACCAGTGCCCAGTGGGACTGGGGCTTGAACTCAGGGCTTCACGCTTGCAAAGCAGACACTTACTCGTGGCTGTTTTGATTTGTTTCTTCAGTGGGTGAGGTTGAGGGTCTCTTTTTTGCATTTGTTTTTATATTCTTTTTCTGAAAACTATTTGCACCCTTTATTCATTTTTCTTTCGGGTTGTTCGTCTTCCTATTGATTTGCAAAGGGCGCTTTGCAATTGTAGTGCAACTTTTTTTGTTTGTTTTGCCCCATGACATTTTTTTTTTGGTGGCACTGGGGTTTGAGCTCAGGGCTTCACACTTGCTAGGCAGGCACTCTACCATTTGGGCCACTCTGCCGGCCCTTTTTTGTGTTGGGTACGTTCAAGATAGAGTCTCAGGAACTATTTTCCGGAGCTGGCCTTGAACCATGATCCTCCTGATCTCTGCCTCCTCAGTAGCTAAGATTACAGTCCTGAGCCACAGGCCCCTGGTGACCCCATGACAATCTTTAGTCTACACAGCTTCTATCACATATCATATGTCCTCTGAGCTGATGACTCTTACATCTGAACGTCTGGCCCAGACCTCTATCCTGGCTCCAAGTTCCAATCATTGACTATCTTCACCTATATGAAGCTAATCTGGCATATAAACTCAGCAGCCATGGAACTGAATTCATTTTTCTCCAAATATTCTCTTCCTCTTATGTTCATCTTGGGTTAATGATTAACCAGAAATTACCCGAGAAATCTATGTCACCCACTTCTTTGTTACCTCTTGTATTCAACTAGCTAAAAACCCTGAAATATTTTGCCCAAATAACCACAATGCCCACATAACTACTAGCAATGTTCACAGTGATTAAAGAGCATAGGCTGCAGTTAAACAATGTTGGGTTTGTATCCTGGCCCTGATCTTTTGAAGTTAAGTGACCTAGGGCATATTTCTTACCTAAAACCTGTTCGTTCATCTGTAAAAAAATAACTGTAACATGTTCTTCAAAGGGTGTTGAAAGAACAAAATAAGATTTAGGCAGACTATCTGCTATAAATACTCAATAAGTGGTAACTATTACCTCTCTTCTCTAGCTTCCCCCCATCTTCTTCTAAGCCATGCTCCTTGCTGCTGCCAGAATAAAAATCCAACCATCACCCTACTTGGAATACGTATGACTCCCTTCCGCTTCCCTCTATTCACAGCTTCAGGATGCCTTAGTGGGGTACACAAGGCTATGCCTTTGGTCTGTTACCTTTCATTACCTTTATATGCTGCCCTCCAGCTACAGTAAAACTACATCATGCCCCCAGAGAATCTTTTTCATACTTTCATGGTTTCCTTCACTGTTCATGGATGACCAAGCCTTCCCCTCAGTCTTCTTCTACAGCACTTACTCAAGACTCAGCCCTGTCCTGAGTTGAATCATTGTTTTATAGTCATGTTTACCTACTTGTTTCCCCGACTAGACCACCAATTCCTTGAGGTCAGAGACTGTTTATTCATGGTTGTATCACCAGCACCCAGCACAGGGTTTAGCATCTTACACATGAGTTGGATAAATAGATGAATGAATAATTCTTGGTCTGAGCAGAGCTCTGACCTCTGATTCCCTACTATTCTAGCAATCAGTAACCTTGCATACATAGTCATTTACCAAAACCTCCTACTGTCCACCCTCCTCCCAGCAGTGCCAAACAGTCAGCCAAAATTTCTGTTGCCCAGGCAGTCACTAGAATCTGGGACTGGTCCAAGTTGAAGGGGTGGAATAGAAGACAATGGTCTCAGTGTAGGCCCTAACCAATGCCAGTGTTGAGATCAGAGTCCACCCCCAAATCCCAGAGATGAGTATTGCAGCGTGCTTATCCAGAGCCTAATCTTCAGGGTAGCAAGGGGAAGAAAATATATCTCAAGGTCATTCTTTAAGTATGTGACTAAAGTAGGCTGCTTACACTACCCTCTTCAAACCTGAGTCCAAAAGAAGCACACCTAGGCACAACAGATTGCTTTGTGGAGACTGGAGAAAAGACAAAGGATACCTTGAAGCTCACCAGCCTTAAAATCAACCTCTACAATCACCTCTAATAAACAAAGGACAGAAAATTTTTTTGTTACTTTCTTTTAATAATACTTTTTCAAAGCCAGTAAGCAACTACAGAGACCATTTTAAAGTACACAAAAATAGATGAGAAACAGCAAAGACACACCCTTCACTCCACAATACAGAGCTCTATTAGTATCCCTTCCCCACACTACCACCACATGGAAGGGCCAGCTCTCTGTGGGGTCCAGAGTATTCTTCACTATTGTGCAGAGGGACCAGGCAGCACTCAGGTGTGATTACGTCAGATTGAGTGGACGCAGGAACTGGTAAGATCAAGGTCTACAGTTTGGGCCCTAGTCTTGGGTAGAGGTTGATGACTCTTAACCTCTTCCACACTGTGCTGGATCCCATAGCCAAAATAGATAGCAAACCCTGGTGAGGAAAGGTAGTCATGAGGTGGGGAGGTAGTGACCTATAAGGAAAGCTTAACATATCTACTGGAGGTCAAGAGGGAAAGGAGTTGAGGTAGGGCACCCAAGAGGCTTACTCTTCCCAAGCAGATACATACCGATCAGCATCCAGACCCCAAATCGGGCCCAGGTACCAGCAGTCATCTGCATCATAAGGTAAACATTCACAAAGATGCTCACTAGTGGGAGAAGAGGCACAACTGGCACCTGAAAACAGGAAAATTTTTGTATATACCACAGAATGGCCTAGAAAGAGATCCTTATCTTACTCAGGCCAGAAAAGGCAGAGTTCAGCCCCTACTCATGCTCTATATGCCAATGGGGAAATGGAACTAGAAAGGAACTGAAGAGGCCCAGGGAAAAAGGCTTGGCCTTCCTCTTAGAGCTGCCCCTTTGTGTCCAACTAAATATCTGTAAACTTTATTGGGCTACACAAGGCATCTAGAGCTTATTCTCCCAAAACAGGTTGATGAGAGGAAAGAGACATCATTTACCTTAAAGTGAAGAGGAGTGGAGTTCTGTGGCTGTCTCCAGATAACCCCAGTGATTCCAAAAATGAGTACCAGGATCAGCACAACCACTGTGACCCACACTGGGTCTCCAGAAAGCAGTGGAACTGTCCACTGGTTCAGCACCAGGCAAAGGACAGTCAGCAGTAGAGCTTCAATGGTCAAGTTGAAAGACATCAAAACCAACTCTTGAGACCAACATACTAAGGTGTTAGGCATCCCATTCCAAAGAGGGTCACCTCTGTCACACTCATGTCCACCCCATCATGCTGACCTCAGAGCCACTTCAAAGAGAAATGTCACTGCTCACCAAGCAAAGAGGAACAAACATAGACAAGCCGGCCGGAGAGTGGAGTGGGGATAGCAATGAGTGGGCAAAACAATGCCTGCAAGGTCAGCTTCTCTTCCTCAGGTGTCTTCTCCTCCTGCAACTCCACTTCCTCTTCCCTAGTCTTCATCTCCTGGTCGGGCTGATACCTGAGCAAGAGTAAGAAAAAAGGGCAGTTTTAAGAAGAACCCTTAACCATTTACCATCTTTCTCCCAGGCAGCTTCTTCATCACCATCAAGAGCAGAAGCTCTTTTGGACAGGGCAGATACCCAAATTCCTCAAGGAAATTTGGGGTGACAGAAGGTGGAGGAGAAAGAAGGAGCACATCCCTATCAATCCTCATTCAGGAATGACACCCTCACCACAGTATGTGGAGGAAGGAAGTCTCACCTGAGAATGAGAACACAAATGGACACCAGGGAGTAAGCAAGCAGGGTCCCAATTGACATGAGGTCCACAAGATCAGTGAGTTCAAACAGGAATGCCATGAATGCTAAAATTAGTGGGCAGAAACGACAAGTGAGAGAAGGGAGTAGCAAAAGTAAAGGAGTTGGTGAAATCACTAAGAGGATTTTTTTACCTGCGATAATGCCAGAGACCACAGTAGCCACAATGGGTGTATGTGTGCTTTTGTGGACCCGAGCAAGGACACGAAACAGGAGGCCATCTTCTGCCATTGCATACATCACCCGAGGCATGGGAAACATGGAGCCCAAAAGGCTGGAAAGGAGAAGTCCACAGCGGCATGAATTGACTGAGCTATCTCTTCCCAAACCTGTAATGTAAGGCGTCCCCACCTTCCCTTCACAGCACTTGTAAGGGGTATTCTCTGGTACAAAATGGCCATACCCTGAAACTCTGGTCACAGAGGAACACAAACATTTGACACTGACCTAGTAGAAAGAGCACAGAGGGAGCCAACAGCCACAAGGTAGCGGGCAGGAGCCCATCCCACGTGGAGAAATGCCTCAGGCAAAGGGCTCTCAGGCCGAAGCTGATAGTAAGGCATCATGAGGGTGAGTGCCGAAGAGACACCAAAATATGCCAAAAAGCAGACAGACAGGGAGATCACAATGCCCATAGGGATGGAACGCTTTGGATTCCGGGCCTCTTCCCCTGCAGGAAAGGGCACAGTACAATGGTCCTTAACCAGGGAAGCAGGCTTACTCCTCTACCAACCCCCATCTGCATGCAGCCAGAGCGCACCCAAGCCCCAGACAGAATGGATTGACTATGTTACCAGTGGTAGCAATACAGTCGAAACCAACAAATGCATAGAAACAGGTGGCAGCTCCACGGAGAATCCCCTCAAAGCCAAAAGGCACGAATCCTCCAGAGCCCATAGGGCCCAAGCTAGAGCAGAAGGAATGGAAACATCAAAGGTATGTTATGTCAACCCCGTTCCTATTCTCTAATTAATTAACTAGGTCTTCAAGGCCCAGCCTCCAATTGTTCTCCACCTCCTTCCTGAATCCCCCTACTCTCCATCATGTCTTCAACAGCAGCTCCTAAGAGTGACTAACCTGTCCGTGTCATTGAGTCCAGCCTTGGTCAATTCGTAGTCCTCTTTTGTGAGCCTCCAATTGTGCAGGCTTCCCTTAATGAAGCCAGAGATGATGACAAAGCCAAGAACCAAAAGATTCACCCCTGTGAACACTTTGGTTACCAGGGCCGACTCACTGGCCCCCAGAGCCAGCAATCCTGCGGAAAATATTCATTCAGGACCCTGAGAAAGAAAGTCCTCACTCCAAGCTTTGTTTTCCTGCCTCTATATGGCAGACTCCTTCCTTCCCAGCTTCTCTTCCTCCTCACCATTACCACCCCCGTCATGCCCTCGCAGACCCAGACCCTCCCCACCATTATACTCTGCCCTTTGCCTCACCAGTGAGCAACAACACAAGGCCCATAGCAAAGAAGTCTGGATATTCTGCAAGGACACGGGGCACATGCAGTGAGATGGTCCCTTTCAAAGTGTGAGAGATGTGGTTCCCAATTAGGTTGTCAAAAGCAGAGCTCCAGGCCCGGGCCACACTGGCTGTACCTGAGAGAGCAGAGAGAGAAAACATGGGGTCCCACACCAGTCTCACACAAATCTCTGCCATTATCGCCTATTCTTACTTTTTTTTTTTTTAGCCAGGGTCTCACTATGTAGCTCAGGCTGCCCTGGAAATCACAATCCTCTTACCTCAGCCTCCTGAGTTCTGAGATTACAGGCATGTGCCACCACACCCAGCTCCTATTTTTAAGAACCAAAACCAGTCACGTAGCCAAGTATAGTGGCTCATGCCTGTAATCCTAGCTTCTTAGGAGGCTGAGATCAGGAGGACTGAGGCTCTCAAAATAACCAGAGAAAAATGGACTGGAGGTGTGGCTTAAGCAGTAGAGTGCCTGCTCTGCAATTGCAAAGCCCTGAGTTCAAACCCCAGTCCCCACTAAAAAAAAAAAAATTAATGAAGGAACCCTAGGCAGAGGTAAGAATAAACAATTTATCCACACCTTTGACCCTCCCAGACTCTCACAAATATACACATTTAGGAATATTGAGGTCCTCAGATTAGTAAAGAATACTTCAGCTACACCATTCCACCCAGATTTCCTAACTAAAGCCCCTTTGCTAGCTGTGCGGTTCCCTCCATGTCCCACCATCTCACCAATGACATAGGAGAGGATGAGGTTCCAGCCAGTGGTGAAGGCCCAGAGTTCACCCACAGTGACATAGCTGTAGAGATATGCAGAACCAGAACGGGGAACCCGGGCACCAAACTCTGCATAGCACAGCCCAGCCAACACAGAAGACAGAGCAGCCACCAAAAAGCAGATCACAATGGATGGTCCTGCTTTATCTTTGGCCACCTCACCAGCCAGGACATACACGCCTGCACCCAACGTGCTGCCCACACCCAGGGCCACTAAGTCCAGCGTGCTCAGGCATCTGGCCAGGGGGGTGTCCACCATCCCTGGCTCCAGTGCACGTCTCCGCACCAGCTTTTGACCAAATCTGCGAAGTGCCCGCCACAGCATTCTAGTTGGAATTGAAGAGGATGCCAGAATCTGGTGAAAACAAGACAAAAGCCTTTCAATGGGGCTCATTATCCTTAAGCTCTAAAAGTGAATTACAAAACCCACTCCACCAAGCAAAGGAGCTAGAGGGGAGAGGGGAGAGGGGAATGGAAGGGACAAAGGCAAGTCACTTTACCTCTAAACCTCAGTTTCTTCATATGCAAGTAGGAATTACAATAATGGGAGTGAGGGTTACAGTGCCTCACAAGGCTTATGGAAGGACTAATTTCGGAAGAGGTCTGTAAAATCCCCACTGTACTACTATAAGTACAGTGGTTGGCACTTAGGAAGCGCTCAGACATTAGATTTCTTTCTCTTTCTCTGGCCAGGAACCTATAGGATTTATCCTAAACCCCATCCAAGGAACCCTGAAACCTGGTGTTTGTTCCCTGGCCTGCGGATCTTAGGAATTAAGCAGAACTCAACTAAGGAGGGGCCAGCAACTCTGGGAGAGCCCCCTTCTCACACCCACTACCCACGTTCCTTTCAGCGGGTGTCCCCAGGGCTCCGAAGGGATATGGCCCCCAGACCGCCCAGGGCAGGGGACCGATCTCGGCTGCAGATTAAAAGTGACCACTAGTCCATTCCTCCTCACCAAGCTCACAACCGCTCAGCTGGCGCTGCCTTCGCCAGGGGAGTAAGCAAATGTTCCCCCACTTCCTCCCGCCCGGCTATGCTGACCTGTGAGCATCACAGTGAGGCGGGGCTTGCACATCTAAGACTGGGAGACGCGCCCCGAGAGGGGCCCCAGAGCAGCCCGATTGCTAGGGTCCCATCCGGTGCCCCCAACTCAGCACCCAGATTTTTATGTTCCCCTCTAGAAACAGCCCGGTGCTGGGGTGGAGATAGGGGCCCCGACTCCCGGGGCCGGGGTCTCGCCAGCAACAGGTCATGGCCCGGTTGATGCAACTGCATGCCAGGGTTGCTAGAGAATCCTAGGTAGGACCCTCCCCGTGCCCTCCTCCGACACACGTGCCGGCCCCAAAGGCTTACCAGAGAGCTGTGGCAAGCCCAGGGAGCAAGGAATCTCGGATCGGGTTCGGCGAGGTTGACTTAAACCGAGTTGGATTGAGGATGCCGAGTTCGGCGGCTCTGGCTTCAATGCTACTGCTTGGGGTCGTTGCGCGCCAAGCGCCCCTTATATTCACCGGGAGGCGGAGCTAGTAACGTCACGGGATCCCACCCCCGATCCTCCTCCCTACACTGAACACACACCACACAATCACAACACACACACAGAGAGAGAGAGGAGAGGGAGGGAGAGAGAGAGAGAAGGGAGAAGAAAGAGGGAGAAAGAGAGAGGAGAGAGAGAGAGAAACAGAGAGAGAGAGAGAGAGAGACCTCGGGTTTGCAACAGGGATTGCGTGGGGCCTGAGACTGCTTCCCACCGGCAACAGCTGCCTGGCCTGTCGGGGAACGAGATAGGGGGCAGGGCAACCTTTTCCCATTTGCCCCGCTGATCGTCCGAGCAGAACAATGAGAGGCTTCCTGGCCAGAGACCCCATGAGATTTTCTACCTTTGTGCCGAACGAGTCAGAATCAGTGATTCTGGGCGGCGTTTGGTAGTGGGGACAGTGTATAAAGAGGGATTAGATTGTGACTGAAAGGTGGAGGGGCAAACAGCACCGAAGGTCTCCACCTCAGTCTTCCTTAGCTTACTTGTCACATGAGGTCACCTGCTCTGTGAACAACCATGTGACCCCCCACCGCTCAGCTATAAGCAAGCTCTCTACCACTTGAGCTACACCCCCAGCCCTCCGCCGCTCAGCTCCCGCCCTCAAATGCTGATGTTTCTAATGCAGACAGCAAGAGAATGCATGATGGTTTCAAGTCACCTGTGCACAGATGCTAATTCCATGTAGATTTCTAAGCCCCATGTCTCCATAGGGTATCTCCTATCAATAGTAAATACGAAATTCTGACTTGCCTGAAATACTGCAGGAGGGAAACTTAATTCCTCTTTTTTGTTTTCCCTAATTTACACTTTTGGCTCTATCACTGAGCTACAGCCCCACTCCTTCAGTTCCATTGTACTGATGACTAACTAAGCTGGGGTGAAAGGCAAGACTTATCTGACCCCAAACCATAATTACTGTGGACCACCTTCCAGATAAGACCTGGCCTGTGGAATTTTAAACACTGCCTCCCATAGATACTATTTCTCATTGAAATGCATAAGAAGAGGAGGTGTGGCTGCAAGCAAAGGCAAACAGGAAGAAGCTAAGAGTTACTAGAAAACAGAAAAGGCGTTGAAGAATCTAAAAATGGTCACATTGGGCCAGACCATGTGGCCTAATCAGCTCTGATTCATAAAGATTGTGAAGGTGTACTTCTCTTCCACCAAGACATCTTAGAGGTTAAGGACAAACCCAAATAGCCTCGTTTCCTTTATGGTCCATTATGAATGTGTCACCATGAATCTAACATCTAAATTCTTTTTGAAGTAGCTGGTATTTTCAGCTAGCTAAAAAGCCATTTAGGAAGTACGAATTGGGCTGGTTTGATAAAGCAAGTACCATCCCAGCCCAATATGTATAGAGCACTTGCCTGACATGTGAGGCACTGGGTTTGAACCTTAGCACGGCAAAAAATAAAGTACGTATTTATTGAGAACTGACTATGTATACAGCCACTATAACAATAAAGCATCTACAGAGGAAACATGAAGTAAAATCCTTGCTGAAAGGAAAGTGATGAAGCTGAAAAGAGAAACACAAGGAGAAAGAATCTGTGACCTTCACAAGCAGCACGTTTTTATTAGGGAGAGGAGACCTGAGAGGGACCTTGGCCATCAGAGTAACACTCTGAGAGGGGTGAGAGCC